TCAAATTGTGTGTGACTTTCGTATATATTGCTTGAATTATAGGGAATTTTATTCGAGTCTAGTTTTAAAAATAATAAAATTTAATACAAATGAAATTCCTATAACTGGTTACAGAATTCAATCAATTATTTGGCCATATATTGATTAATCGAGTATTAATTTCAATGATTTAAAAATAAATGGTGTGTTTAATAAACTTTTAAAGTAATTAAAATCAATTTTTACAAAACATTACAAACATTCTAATATATTCTAATGGATGTTATTTTTGCAACTTTTCAGCGCAATATTGATTAATAATTTTTTATAACAATTTCACATAAATGTATATTTATTTTATAGATTCATTTCGTAGAATAAAACAAAACGAGTTATAATAATATAAATTATGTAAGATTTATATACAGTATACGTAATTATATGTCAAAATGTTTTAAACATAACAATGGAAATTAATATTCAATGGACGGAATTTACTAAAATTTAACATGTTAGCGGATATAATGTGCACACTATGATAATTGCACACCATATTAACCAAATTATATAAAATACTGTAATGTATATTTCATATTCTCTCGATCGAAAGTTAAACACCATATAAATACATTTCTTGCCTTGGTCATAGTAAAATTATTTAAATATTATAATTATGATTACTACTGTACAAGAAACACTACATGAAATACTACTTTACATAATAAATATGGTGTAATAACAGTAAGCTTATTGTTATTTATTAGTTCATTATAGTCAGCTTTAGGTGTAAGCTTATCACTGATTACTACAATTTCATAAACAGCAGGGTTACTTTGTAGACAAAATTGCAGCATTAATTCTGACCCAATATAAGCTTATTGTTATTTATTAGTTCATTATAGTCAGCTTTAGGTGTAAGCTTATCACTGATTACTACAATTTCATAAACAGCAGGGTTACTTTGTAGACAAAATTGCAGCATTAATTCTGACCCAATTAATATATTCCTCGTATACCCCTTACTAGCACTCACTTGTAAGCCATATATAGAAATATACAAAAATATTGTTAATGTTTGTGTATTACTGTCGGATTTGCAGTGACTATATAAGTCACCTAAATTAACTTTAACTTACGTTAAGACATATATTAACTAACGTTTGAGTTACTTAGCTCTGAAGTAATTTTGTACAAACACAGGCTATACACATATGTGAGACACAAACGTAAACTGTTGGGATTCAATTAAACAGAAGAAATCAAGAATCGTATGAATCTCTTCTCGAGGACTCGCAGGTCTGTTATCATTCAAAGCCCACTAATTATTAAAGCATATCAAACATCGAAAACTCATTATTGTTTGCGAATCTGTTTTATAATACCAAACAAATAGTCATTAATTGTACGAAATATATACTCATTAACAGTTTTGTTGGCATTTGCGACGAGGCTTTCGCTTTAGACACTCGTTTTAATGACAATTTCTATTGTTTGACATTTAACTTTTGACTGTCTCTCATATAAAACAACATTTATTATCACATGTTTTGACTAACAGTAATCATTGGGAAGAGACAGTCTTACGAATTATACAAAAATAAAAATCCAATTTCTATTAAAAAACAGGGCTATGAAAGGGAAGATTTGCTTCTAAATTATGTCATGTATTGTAAACATTTTAAATGGAAAAAGTAACTCAATTATCCTAGTTTGTTTTTTACTTCAAAACACACAACACCACGACCTTCACTCTCAATATTGTTCAAATTTTCTGAAAATATTTAATAAAAATATCTCAAAATTGAATTTTAGAAAAAAGCTCTTTAAAAATATACTCATTATATGTTCACTACTTTTTCAATTTAATGGCTTTCGACTGAATTGTTGGCAAAAATATTTGATTTTTGGAGTTTGAAAAATAAATTGAAAAATTATAGTAAAATTTTTGCTCAACTACAGTGAATCTAATTAAACTTTATACATGTAGTGTAGCCGAGTAATTGAACATTACATGGTATAATTGTACAAATTTTAAAAATTGAGCTATAATATGAAAAACTAAATAATTATATAATACATTCACTTACAATCAAGTTTCTCATCAATATTGCCTTTGGATGGTATAGAGACAGCATTAATGAATTCCGTAAAACTGATCGCTCCGTCCTTTTAATAATCAAACAAATAGTTGTTATATTTTTTATTTCATATCAAATGATAATATTTTGAGATAATATAAAATACAAACAAATATCTAAACCGAGAAATATGTATCGCTTACTTGGTTTGCGTCAAACCGTTTGAACACATATTCTGCGAGTTTTACGGTATTGCCGTCGGCGGGGAAGAAGTGTTCGCCAAAGTTTTGCATAAATGTCTGTTTATCCATCTGTCCGTTGGGACACTCCTGTATAAATTCGGTGTACCATTCCTTTAGCTGTTTCGCTGAAACTATTTTTGTTTTAAAATTAGTATTCAATTTTTGACATCAAGTTTGTCATTAATTAAAATATATATATAATCTAAATGTCGACTTACACGGTGTGGTCGCCGCTAACTCTTTGAATTTGACGCCTTCCGAGTTGTCTTTACTCTGAAAGTTACCCATAATTACCAAAAGCATATTCTCTGCCCATTAATATCGACACAGGAATCAGTATTGATGAGTGAAGTCATTGTGAACTGTATTGTCTCTCAAACTATTAAATTATACAAAAGAATATGAATTTAAAAAATTAGTTCTAAACTAATGAACAGAGAAAGAAAAAGTTTGCAAATTCTGTTGAGAGAGAGAGAGAGAGAGAGAGAGAGAGAGATTCAGTAACTGAATGTAACCATAACTACTAAATAACGTTAAGTGGAGTCAAGCCTTGAATTTTTTGGTAGTTTTCGGTCTATAATATAATAACGTGTTTTGCATTTCATTAATATTTAGCAATATTATACATAACTTATAATATATATAAATTTGCGATCAATTCTATGCAAAAACCTTTTATTAATGAATAATTTTTTCATTAAATATAATATAATAGCCGTAGAGAACAATGATGTGATTACTTTGCATAACTAAACTCTCACTGTTTATGAACGCTATGAGCAAAACAACAATAAAAACAGTTCTCTATTGCCATTCAAACAAATGCACAGAATTTTGATATTTGTTGGGAGAGAGAGAGAGAGAGAGAGAGAGAGAGAGAGAGAGAGAGAGAGAGAGAGAGAGAGAATATCCTATAGTTTTAGTAAAATATTTATAATAGGCTAACATTTCACACGTAGATTTACCCTTAAATACCATTAAAACATTATATTGTACTAATGCCACCAAAAATCATAACAAAATTGATATTTAAGAGTACATAATGTCGTAAAAATAAAGTAAAAGTCTTTTATGGCATTCTTGTGCCGTAATTGTAATAAATGTTAATTAATTTTGAGAACTTAATTAATTAGGAGAAAACAGCAAAATTTAATCAAATTTTTTATATATAAATATATTAAATAAATACATTTGGCGTCAAAATGAGAAATAATGAACTCATTATTATCGTAAACTTTGAACTGTTTAGCAAATAAGCAAATGATTTATTTAATCGCTGGGAATGTTGTGTCTCCGGACGACTGTCCACTTCAGGCACTGTATTCCTGTAATACACTTGCGATCCGTTATTTGCATTTTCCTTACTCTCCTCTCTTTCATCGCTTACTCTTTCATTGTTTGAGAGTCTGATGTTATCTGAGATCACAATAAGTCTGCACTTCATGTCGAGTGGATTGTAGACATAGCCGGGAGGACACGAATCGTTGAGCTGTGCATTGAGACCACCGGTAATAAAATCCGTATCAAACGTAACATAACTGTCAAAGTGTTTGGCCAATTGGTGCTGATAATGATTCTTGGATTCCACGGGACATATCCATTGGTTCTCTTCATAACCGCTACATTTGGCACAGAATTGATTCTTGAATGCAGTCAAACGTTGAGCGCCGGTGTCCTCTATGACTACGGGTGCGTAAAATCGGGCGCAATTTTTCACGACATCGATAGTGGCTTTCGGGTCGATCACAACGTTTGTCTTATACCAACCGATATTACACGACGAAGAGATCTGTATTAGTGTCTCCGGACGACTGTCCACTTCAGGCACTGTATTCCTGTAATACACTTGCGATCCGTTATTTGCATTTTCCTTACTCTCCTCTCTTTCATCGCTTACTCTTTCATTGTTTGAGAGTCTGATGTTGTCTGAGATCACAATAAGTCTGCACTTCATGTCGAGTGGATTGTAGACATAGCCGGGAGCACACGAATCGTTGAGCTGTGCATTGAGACCACCGGTAATAAAATCCGTATCAAACGTAACATAACTGTCAAAGTGTTTGGCCAATTGGTGCTGATAATGATTCTTGGATTCTACGGGACATATCCATTGGTTCTCTTCATAACCGCTACATTTGGCACAGAATTGATTCTTGAATGCAGTCAAACGTTGAGCGCTCCACAGGAGATACTGATGCCCACGCATTTTAGCCCGCGTTAAAAAGTGCTGTAGCTATCACCGAAAGCCCAGCTAGTGTTGCAAACAGAATATGGTTGGCTATAATGTGCTGCTTCTCTAGACATAATGAATTGGTTTTCGTTTGATCTTTTCCTGAACCAGAAAATCCGGTGGAGAGGGATATGAGACGGGAGAGCACTTCTCGGCGCTATCTATTGTTTGCAAAGTGAAATAGGCAACTCAGGTGCTGAGCTCAGCTCACAGTAATACTGTCTCTCGCGTTATATACAAAGACATACACTAAACTCACCAAGACGGCCACTGCCCGGTATTGTCCTTGAGCAGCGCTCTATATGATATAAAGTGAGCCAAATCTGGCAAAAAATACTCTTCCATTTCGTCGAAACCAATATTTTCGCACATCTTTCGGATGCCTTGATTGGGCCAATCAGGCGGGCATTTAGTCTTCATAAGTACAGTATAGGAGAATTTAGGGCTCACTTTCACATTCATTATCGACCAATTGTTGAGCGGATTGTCTGCAACGGTGGGCGCGTCCAGACAACAGTCGCCAAAGGAATAGCAGTGTTGGTCACAGTTACAGGTCTCCAACCACGTCGGCTCGAGGGACGTATATCTTCGCGATTCCGGAGTTGTGGTCATTATTGCGGTCGATCTCAGCGAACAATTCCTGTGTTCGTTGCAAACCAACGAATCCATACATCTTATACTTAATGCTAACACAAAACATATCGAGTTTATTGTTTTGAGCATTTTTAATGATAAACATTCATGTAGCAAACAATTAGTGTAATAAAGTTTTAAATTAATTTTTTAGTTAATAAGCGGTGAATCAAAAGGCAATAATATTTTGTTAGTGGATATTTTTGCTCAATTAAGTGACGTAAGCCATGATTTGTTAAAACAATATTTGTTAAAGAAAATGCAAAATTCATTGTTTTATAAATTATGCAATTCTTAAAGAATATATTTGTTTAACTCTTTCATTACATATGATAT